TTTCACGTGGAAACGAAAAGAAATAATAATAAGGTAAAGACATTATGGTATTTTATAAATAATTTTGATTCGAAATCAAGTATCTGATCATCTAAAAATTTGGATATTAATTTCTTATTCGGAGAAAAACATTAATTAAATAGAAAAAACCACCTATAAGTTGCCTAGTTTTAAAATACAAATTTTTGTATTCTACCTATAACCCTTGACAACCTCTAACTCATACCATGATTATGAATTTTGCCATAAATAGGCAACTCTTTAGTTGCGTGTTATTTTTGTTTTTTGTTAATTGTTAATTCTTTTAAACTCTCTCCCTTTTGAAAATGAGAAAATTATATGTACTTTGTAATTGAGAAGGAAAAATGGGCGAGCACGCAAAAAATACAAAAAGGGCCCCTCCCTCCCTGGTTACGGGCCTGGTATAGGTTTTTGTACCTCCAAAATTCTGAAAATTTTCGTTTCTCAGCTAAAAGGGAATTTTTGCCTTATGGCCTTCTAAAATTCTCAAAATTTTCGCCTGCGGCGCAGAAAAAGGAAGAAATCTGGCTTCTTGACTTCCCAAAATTCTGGAAATTTTCTGCCTATGTAGGGCTCCCCGAGCCTCCGGGTTCGGGATCGTCGGGGATCAGGGTTTGCCGGGAAGGGCATGTCGTTCGGGGTCGAGGTTGACTTTTGGGTCGATTATTTCCTTTTCCCGATTATCTCCTGGCATTAGGAATATAATTATTTTCTCTTGAAAAATATATTTGTAGAATTTAATCAGTGATGTTTACTCCAGAAATCAGGGACGGATATCCGCGGATTTGGAGCATCATATCCGTATCCATCCGTATCCGTCCGATTTTTAAAAATCACTATCCATATCCGTCCGTATCCATATCCGTCCGTATATCCGTCCGCATCAGTCTGATAAGCACCAGCTTACTTCCTTATTGCTTTCCCAAGGATAAGTTTGTGGCGATGTTTAGCTTAGATAATAGACGGCTAATAACTCTCTGGGAATGGCCGTTTGTGGCGTGCTTTACCTTTTCTCTAGGAACTTCCGCTACCTAGAGCGATGATTGCTCTTCACGTGTTTTTAGGATAATCCCGGCCTTACACTATTTTAAAAATCACTGTTATTTCTAATATTTTAAATAATTATAATTCGCTTAAAACTTTTCAAATAATTCGTTAAATTAATATTCTTTAAAATTCCTATTTTCTGTAAATAAAATTATCTCCTCATAACTGAAAATATAAGTTATATTTCAATAATTCTTTTAAAATAGAACTTTATAAATTATACTTTTATAGCAAAAATGTCATAAAAGAGATCTTGATCATCTTTTAGAGAAAATAGAGAATTATAAAAATACAATTAATGTAACTAAGGAAACTATTAAAGATCTGGAATTATTTTATACTTCTAAAAAGTCAAAAAATTTTGAAGAAAAGGATAGGGAAGAATATCCTGTCACAAAAAATGATTCTGATGAGGCCGATGAAGATCAGGATGATGATTATTGGGAGAAATGGAATGAATCGACTATGTAAATATTAATTGTGAGTGAACAAAATTCAAGCTTATTAAGAATATAAAATAATTATTTAGTGATATAAAGATATAACAAAAAACGATTTTCTAGCTTTATTATTTAAATTATTAGAAATCATATTTCATTCATCAGTAACCAAAAAATCTTGATAAAATTTTGATAATAAAATATTTTCCCAAAATAAAATATCCAAAGCAATTATACTTTAAACATTTACCTTACCCAACTTTATTTTAAAAATTTCCTAAACCAAAAATACATATATTTTTTATATTTAACTTCCTCTCAATTATTTTTAAATAAATTATTTCTTTATTAAACTTTACAATTTGAAATTATTATAGGTCATTTATAAACATTATTGGACACTCAATCGGACCTTATCGAGTTTTCCCGTAAAGTTTTCCCCTAATTCTAGCGCCACAGGCGAAAATTTTTGAAATTTTTGGAAGACTACATATTAGTGTTTCACCGGAACCGAAATTTTGACCGGAACCGGAACCGGATCCAATTTAAGTTCCGGTTCCCGGAACCGGAACCGGAACTTTTCTAAGTTCCGGCCCGGAACCGGAACCGGAACTTTGAAAAAAATTTTTTTGCTAGCAAATTTTAAAAAAATTTGCATTTTGATTTGGGTTGTAGGTTTCACCAAATTTTTCGGTTAACCGAAACCGAACCGTCTAACCTTGGTTAACCAAAACCGAGCCGAAAATTTGTCGTCGTTAAGTGATATACATATGTGGATTAGAGAGTGGTGTATAAACGATTTGTCGGATATAACTGTTTGATATCGGGCGATAAAAAGGTTCTGAATTGCAAGAAAATCCCATATCTACCTACTCAATTTCTCGATATCACACCCAAATCCACGATATTACCTATGACCGTTTGAAATCATGATATAACTCAAAATCCAAATTAATCCATCCAAATCCTCCGATATAACATTCAACTTCTTTTTAAGCGCCGCAGGCGAAAAATTTTGAGAGTCTGTGAGGACAAGAAGCCAAATTTCTTCCCTTTTCAGCGCCGCAGGCGAAATTTTTGAAAATTTATGAAGGCCATAAGCAAAAAAATTCACTATTTATAAGTCAAACTAAAAATTTTAAGAAATTTAGAGGGCCAAAAAACCACAATTACTCCATGTAAAAATAAAATAATTTTAAAAACAAAATTATAAACTTATAAAATAAGTTTTTAAGGAAAGAAAAACATGCAAATTAATTGTCGTATGCCTCGGAAGCGAACCCATCTTTAAATCATTCACGCCAAGGGTGAAGTCTAACACCTTAACCACTCGGCCACCCGCTTATATTAGGTCAATTGACAGAAAATAAACATATTTCTTTCGATTTTTTTTTAATACACAAGCATGAGAGTACGAGTAGTTTATTAATTTTTCTAAAAAAATCAATCTTTAGGGGTGTAAAAAAGTTCCGGTTTGCCCGGAACCGATTTGAAAACCGGAGCCGGAACCGGAACCGGAACCAATTTGAGTTCCGGTTCCCGGAACCGGAACCGGAACCAAAAAAACACCGGAACTTTCCGGAACCGGAACCGGAACTTCCGGTGAAACTCTACTACATATGTATAAAGTCATGTTTCTTCATTTCTGCCAAAAAAGGCATTATTTAGGGGTGTATAGCCTCATCGTTCTTTGAGGGGACGGAGACAGAGGTTCCGAGACCCGAGGCGGTCAATCCGAGACTGAGATTGCAATATGGGCGAGGACATCGGCCTCGGCGAGGCCTCGACAAACTGCAACCTTCGTTCAAACATAGAATGCCGTAACTGTGAAGCTTTCCTCAGTATTAACCAATCTTTAAATTAATTTAAAAAATTCTGATTTTGCTAGGTATTATCTTTCAGAACTTACCTTTAAAATTATATTTTTCTGGCTATATGAGTCACCTCTAATAAAAAAATGCTTCACTATTTCCTTTATTTTTTAACAACAATTCCACATACTTCCAGCCTTTCCTTTTATTTGCGTCAATCAACTCTCCCCAAAAATGTAAAGAAAAAATAAACAAACAAAACCGGCCTTCGCCATTTTTTAAAGCTTTGTTTAAAAACCAAGGCCATTTTTCATAAATCGTATAAGGGGATAATCGATCTGAACCGAGCAATTTTTGTTCATTCTTTTATGTAATGAAATGAAATATATGTCAAATAATCTAGCTATATTTAATTAAATATTTTATTTATTTTTAAATTTATTCTCTAAGGACATCCGTATATCCCGTATATCCCTTAAATGTTATCTTGTATTATCTGTTCTTTATTTCCCTTTATACTTATAATAATAAATATTTTCTTGTACTGTATGGCCCTTCCACCCCTTCCAGAACTCTCAAGAGTTCAATTAGATTGCCATAGAATTCCTTCGAGTTTTTGCTGCTCAAATCGAATTAGGAGTAATTGTGCCCAGCTCTGTGCGTCTTTATCAACTTCAACTGCCTTATGTTTAAACTCAGCATTTCCTTCGTCTAGTTCTTCTAAAGTACCAACGGTAGGCTTTAAATAGTATATATACATTATATATTTATAATCCTAACCGCTACTAGTAGGATTATAAATTCGTCTAAAATCATCCAATGTCTATAGCCTTAGAATTCCCTCAATACTATGTTGATCACGTTTGATAATCGGATTTTTACTCGTCAAGTGTTCGCTTATTTTATGTCATACTCGAACATATACCGAGCTATAATATTCGAAAACTTAATTTTATAATTCACATGCGTTAGATTATGTCCGCAGGGATCCTGTCCCAGGATATAATTATTTTTAAAAATTTTTAGAACTTTCCTTCTCCACCTATCCCAGCTATTCCTTCATCAGTAACCTCATTTGGAGGTTCCATTGATCTCCCTGGAGTTAATCTGCCTAATCCGGATGAGAAGTTTTTTGGAGTATTTGGAGGAAACAATAAACGTCCTACAACCGAGGGAAGCTTTAGAAATTTTGAAAAAACTGACAAAAATGATGGAGGAAATGAGCAAGGACCTAGTTGTGGGTGTTCAAAATTGGTATTGTTCGGGGTTACTTAGAAATTAATTTTTTTAGAATCCAAAATATTATTCCTTTATATTCTTGTAACTTCCAGCCATGACTGTACGCATTTATAGCTTTTATGTAAAATAAAAAATAAATTTGCACAAAATCCGTATTTGCGGACAGTCTTGCTAAAAATAATTAAAATTCGTTTTCATTCAACATTTTTAGTCATTCCAAACTTCCAACCTCCTTTTCAATTAATTCTGCCCCCGCCAGATTCACCTAATGCAAAAGGCACTCCTGTTCCTATTGAGGATTTGGACTCTAACGAAAGAACGGAACAAACTCGAGTGGAACCTGCTATTGTTGAATCGACACAATTTCCAACCTTAATACCGTAATTTAACTCTCAAATCATAGAAAACTCTAAATTTTGTCAAAATTTTAGTCCACAAACAACGGCTAAAATTAAAGAAAAGTTTGCAGCTTCAATAGATTCAGCGCTAGAAAAAGTAGGAAATAGCGAAGAAAAAGTTGGAATTATAAAAACGGATGGGGGTGCTATCGACGGGACAGCTAGTAATAAAAAGAGAGGAAATAATAGAACGAAGAATGGCCCTTTAAAATCAACTGATTTAATGAAGGAATTGGAAGAATTGGGTGATTATGAGGAAAATAAGGAAGTTAAGGAAAGTGAAAAGGTTTCTGGATCTGTAATTGCTGAAGGTATGGGTTATTTAAAATCCCTGAATAACAAAATGGAAAATTGAAATAATTAAGTGGTGATCATCATGATAATCCTTTCTTGATAATTTAACGATAATCATTTAGATATAATTTAGGAATATTTTAAATTAATCAAAATTATTTCAATTTTACAATTATTAACAGTTTTGGAACCTCACCAGCCAAGGACTACCGTTACAGAGAAATTGCCGGACTTACCACCTAAAAATTTTTCTGAATTTCCACCACCACCAGCTAACCAACTTTGGAGTTTTAAAATTAAACCTAGCTCTCTTAAGCAACCGGCAGCCTTGGAATTTTCACAAGGGAATGGAAGTAAGAAGGTGGACGTGGATTTAAATGGTAGATTTGCATCTGGAGAAGGTGAGAATTTCCGTAAATTACCATAGGTAAAGTAACTGTTAAATAAAATCACGGAGTAGTCACAGAAAAGTGAACTGACGTTAATCCGGATGAGAAGCTAATCCGGATAAGTTCTATGGATTATTTAAAGGAAGCAATAAAGGCCTACAACCAAGGGATTTCGAAAATTTTCTGAAAAAAATTTTTTTAATAAAAAAATTTGCCTTTTGGGAACAAAAATTAGTCTTAAGTTTTAGATTTTTCCCGTTTTGAGGCAATGTAACCTCAAATTAAAAAATACCTTAATTTTCCAGATATTATTTAATTTATCAGAATTAACAAAATAAAAAATTGCAAATTTAATCAGAAATCGACTCCATTGTTGACCGTCTCTTTACCAACAAAGAATTGCTTCGTTCTTTTGTTGTATCAATTAAAGATTTAAAAAATAAAAACAATGGAACCAGTAAACCCTCAAAAAATAATCCAACAATTATTTCCTCAACAGAATACCCAGAACAATGCTCTACTCCTCCCAAATTTATCCCCTGTGTTCCTCTTGAAAAAGCAAATATTCAATTACATTCTTGTTGTGTTAAAAGATTAATGCCTGTTGGATGTCTTCCTTTGTGTAGATATGATACTAGTAGAGATGAAATTAAAATGGCCTTTGAAAAGGGGCAATGTGGGATTTTAAATATTAGTCCTGTATGTTTTTTAATTTATTTTTATTTTACTAAATTTCTAAAAAAAACTTTTCCGGGGATGTTGGCTGTTTCTAAGGTATATTCCTGGGTTTATAACTTCTTTGGTTTTTCTATTTTTGGTCAGGGATAAAGGTGTATTCGGAACTTTTATGCTCATCTATGTAGGTCCTCTCTTCATTTATTTCCAATCTAAGGTCAACTAGATCGGATATCCATAAATATACTTTAGAAACCTTAATAATACACAAATTTTATTAAATATGTATAAGAAGGGAACCGGATTAACGGAACCGGGAACCGAATTACTTAACAACTCTAAAGAAAACACATTTTTAACTTTAGTTCAGATAAAAGTTAAAGCTTCATACGTAGATTACAGAGTTTTTAACTTTTTTCCTTTCAGTTTCTGGAATGCGCTTCCCAAGGCCGGAATAATCTAAATTGTTGTAGACATAGACAAATAGCTCAAAACAGTGCCCAACAATGCGAGATCTTTTGTACAGGAGAGAAGCTCTCACTTTTAGGATTACAACATTTAGTCTGCTCTACTTTGATACAACCAATTTTGGAATGTCACCATGCTGGTCTAATAGATGATAAAATTTAAAAATATTTTTTTATTTAAATAAAAATTATTTCCCAACAAATAAAATTTCTCAGACTTTTCTAAATTTAATTAAATTTATCTAAAAATAAAATTAAAATTGTAGGATTTTATATATATTTAATTTTCCTTTTTCATTTATTTATTTATCTTCCTTCTCGTTTAAAAAGCAGGTCATAATTAATTTGTGGTGATTATCGTTAAATTATTGGATTAAATCGATTAAACGAGAAAATCACATTTTATCATACATATGTATCCTAATAATTTTTATTTAAATATACCAACACAAATATTCCACTTTAAAAATTATATATTAAATAAATAAATTTTTTAAATTATTGTTATCTGTCTAATTAGCACAATTACTGATTTAAAAATATTCTAAATTGTAGTTTTGTCAACTAATGTTTTTCGAAATAAAGCATCTAAATTATTTTGATATGAAAATCCCCAAATCTCTCAATATTTTTCTTTCATTTCTTTGATTGTAATCTTGAGAGATCTCGAAAAATTATCATTGAATTTAATTTGTATATTACTATTTTCTACAATGTTCCAGGACATATCTGGCGAATTTAGACCTATAAATGTTTTTCCTATTTTCTGAAATAACATTTTCGGTTTAGAGATTTTTTGGTTAGGTTCAGATTATCCTAAGATTTTCCTCAGACTGTCATTTTTATTTGACGATCAAAAAATAAAAATAACAGTCAGTCCGCAAGTCTTTCTCTGGATCAAACAAATGAATATATTCCTGTTTTAAAATCATTCTTTTGATTATCTCTCTTATTTTTAAAACAACGTTTTTGTTGTTGTTTCAAGTTGCCAACCAAAAGCGATAATTTTTAGAGAAGCGTCTCTCAGCAAAAAAACTTGTTTAATTTTGTTGGCGCATCATTCTAAAAATCAAGAAATATTTACACATTAAAATAAAAGAATAAAAATCTTCTTTAATTAAATTCTCTCATCAAATCCTCGCATTCGTAGCCATCGGCAAAAAGCCTATTAGCGGGAGTGAACAACAAAATAATTAACTTTCGTTTTCCTTCATCTATATAAAATTTGGTATTAATCTCCATCCTTTCACTCAAAAAAATTTTTTATTGAGAGAGATTTTTGGATTATTTTAATTTTAAATGAATAATAATTGTCCTGAACTCTCAAAAACAACCAAAAATAAAAACAACTATAATGACTCTCATAACGTTTTGATAACGGGAGGTTGTGGATTTATTGGCTCCAATTTTATCAATTATATTTTTGATAAATGGCCTAGTTCAAAGTAAAGTAATTTATTATAAAAATATTTTTACTTGATAAATATTGTTCCCTTAAAGTTATTAATAGAGCCCGGACCGTACCGTACTACGGCCGTATTTTTCGGTATTTATCGGTATTCCGTATCGGTAGTACGATACGGAATACCGACCGATAAAATTTTCAAGTTTATCGGTATTTATCGGTATCGGTATTTTTCGGTATTCCGTATCGGTAATACGGTACGGAAAAACTAAAATACCGATGATACCAACCGATGAAATTTTTCAAAATTTTATTATATTTTAAGGGAAAAAAGGCTTCTTGGCCATTGAAAATTCTCACAATTTTTGCCTGCGGCGCTATAATAGGATGAACTACAACTTCTTGGACTTGCAAATTCTCAAGATTTAGAAGTCAAAATTTCAAAATCAGAAAAATTAAGAAATATTTCTCTTGGTTTTCGAAAATTTCACAAGATTTTCGTCTGCGGCGCTGAAAGTGTTGAGGTCCGATGGACTGATATAGAGGGATTATGAGTATTTAAGAATGGATTTAGCGGATTAACAAATATATCGAGAGGGTTTGTGATGATTAAGTAAATTTGTGCAGATTAAGTGCATTTAATGGACTATTTAGAGGTTACGTTCAATTCTAGGGATTAAGAGATATCTGGCTTTGGGGTTTAACAGGGATATTGGGGATTTTAAGGTTAATTGCTGATTATGAAGAGTAAGGAGGAATTCTACGGTTAATCTACTGATATTTTTTAAATCCCCTCTAATCGTCTTATATCCACCACAATCATCATATCTCCGGATCACCCTTAATAGTACAAATCTAACAATATTACCCTTAATCCTTAGATATCAATTCAAATCTCCTTAATCCCTCAAAATCCATCTAAAACCCTCTAAATACTCAGATATCCCTTCAAATCCATAGTAATCCCAGGAAATCCTCAATCTACGACTTTATCCCCACAAATTGATATATAAAAATAATTATTTTTTAATAAATTAATTTTTTAAAATACGGTACGGAATACCGATAAATTTTTATCGGTATTTATCGGTATCGGTATTATACGGTAGTACGGTACGGATTACGGTACGGTACGAAATTCCGGGCTCTAGTTATTAATTTATTTATCAAAACTATAATTCCTTCACACCATTGGAGGAAAATCATTCCAACTAATCTAGTATGTATAAGTTGTGGCAATAGACCATTTTTGTATAAAGATCTCAGGGATTAATTACGAAATACGGGATTTTATTTTTCTAGGGCTCATGATTAGAGAGAGAAATAAATCATAAAACCATATTTCTGACAGATTTATCAATATCGACAAGTTGGCAGTTGGAGCATCAGCAGACCATGTTATCCCTGAAGTTAGAAAGTCTGGTCGTTATACTTTTGTACATGGTACATTGCTGGAACAGCCTTTAGTTGAGAGTCTTTTGAAGCTTTATCAGATAGATACGGTCAGTTTATAATGGAAGGGAGCCAAAAAGAGATCGAACTTGAGATCTGACAAGAAGATTTTTGAATAAGATATTGTCTCTGTCCGAACTCTAGCAAAAGGCCTATTTTTTAGAATTTTCAAATATATCATTTAGGTTATTCATTTTGCTGCAATAACACACGTAGACGAGTCCTACTCAGACCGAGTTGGGACTATTCAAGAAAATGTAATCGCCACAACCACCCTATTGGAGGCAATTAACACGCATGGGCAGATTAAACGATTTGTTCATATAAGCACGGGTAAAAATAATGAAATCTCCAATTTTTTTATTTTTCAAATATTTAGATGAGGTTTATGGTGACTCAGTAAATGAGAATATACCCAAGGATGAGGAATCCCCTTTGAACCCCACAAATCCATATGCAGCTAGCAAAGCAGCTTGTGAAGTTATTGTCCGAAGCTATTACGTATGTGAGGGTTGTGAGTATTTTTTGAAATTCTCATTTTCTTGTTTTGATTAATTTTTGAAAGCTTTTGTAATTAAGGAAATCTTTATAATTTCAAATTTCATCTCAGAGAAAATTAAATCCCGTTAATTTTCAGCACTCATACAGGCTGCCATATGTAATGGTCAGGATGGTAAGCAAAATAATTTTTTGCAAGAAAAATTATGTAATAGCGATTAGGGCTTGGAATGTCCAAATAAAAAATTAGTTTGGACAGTAAGCTGTCCATAATTGCAGATGTTTCTGCAACTATTTTAAGTTGTAGACGGCTCATTCTGATACCCATTAAATAATAAATAACCACAATTTATGTTTACGAATTCAAAAGATATACCTCAGTTACTAAAGGTTTACTAGTAAAGCATTCAACCATCAACCAATTTAAATTATAATTAATATTACGAAAATCTATCAAAGTAAAAAACTAATGAATTATACATAATTTTATACAAAAATCCAAAAAACAATGAATTATAAATAATTTTCAGAACAATGTTTATGGCCCTAGACAAGCTTACTCCAAATTAATTCCAAAATTTACAAGGCTTGCCTTGGAAGGCAAGCCTTATCCTTTGATGGGAGATGGTAGGCATAAAAGGTAATTTGCATAATAAAAATTTAAATCCGTTCTGTTTAAGAAGCTGGATTTATGTAGATGATTGTGCAGAAGCTATTAGACTTGTGGTTAGAGAATTTTAAAGTTAAAAATTTTTTTGATTTAGACAGAAAATGGTCAGAATGCTCAAATTTACAATATTGGGACAGATTTTGAAAAATGCAACATTAACCTGGTATTCATAAATCATAAAAAACAGTAAATTTTTTAAAATATTAGACAGAAATGATTCACAATAAAGTTCAAAAGTTGATGAATAGGTAATTTTACTATTTTATGTAGAGTTAAAATATTATGGTGTAAAAATAAGTTTCACTTACAGAATTAAAATTCTAAAAAATTCTTTTCTGTATATCAAGAGATTTTATTACATTTTTTCGATAAGAACTCGACCGATTTTAATTTATATATATTCTTCAATCAGAAATAAAAACGTTGACACTGGTCAAAGTTTGAGCCATATATGAGAATTTTCACGGGAATTACGGGCCTTAAGACTCGCAACTGGCGAAAGCCTTGTTCCAAGGCAAATAATCAAATCAAACTCTTATCATATAACCATCAATTCAATTACTCTGCTTTCTTAAAAAAATTTCATTAAATTCCTTACTAATTTTAGAGAAGCCACCAAAATTCAATTTGCCCCCATTGCTGACCGTCCATATCACGACAGGCGATATCTTATTGTAATTTTTAATTAAAATAATTTTTAATTAATTTATCAAATTTTTTAAAGAATTTTAATAAAATTCGGGAAGAATTGGGATGGAAATGTTTGGTTCCTTTTGAACAAGGATTGACAAAAACATTAGCCTATTATTTGAAGGTATGTTTTTATTTGAGTTATTTTTATTTAAAAATTAAATTTAAAAATAATTTTATTTTAATAGGAATATAATAAATTGCAACGAGAATTGACAACATTAGAGAGACCTCACGGCTAAATTTTTTATAATTAAATTTTTAACTTATTTAATTGAACTATTGAAAATATTATAATAAATTTTAAAATACTTATGTTTGTTTTTTATTTGTGAGATTGTTAATAAGTTAAAATTAATAGGTCATAATATGTAATTTTATTATTATTATTCTCTCATATTGATTGTTCTGTTAAATATCCAAATCAAAGCTAGAATGCCTGAGATTAGATTAATAATCAAAAATGATTGGGAAGAAGAAAGAGAATTTATTTATTTAAAAAATGTTAAAATAAAGGAACGTTTTGTATTGATAATGAATGTAAAACAAAAAAGTAAATAGTTGATTATATTTATAAGAATACTGGATCGTTTTGTAAGCTTGAAGTAAATACTGTTAATAAAGTTTTTATTGTTAAACTAAATAAGTCAGGGGCCTAAATTTAGCTCTCAATTAAAAATGAGAATTTTAATTGAAATTGCCAATAATAAAATTGTCAAAATTTTTTGAAAAACTTGGCAAAACAGGTATTTTACATTTGATTATTCGATTTTTAATTTTAATTCTGATTATAGTTATAGTCATAATATGATTATAATGTTTTTAAAAAATATACAAAATTCACCACCAAACCCAAAAAAACTAAGATTTTAAGCCCCAACACCAAAACTAAAAGTTGAAAGTTCCTCATTTTATAACAGCAGACGAATGGCTCATTTATAATATCTACTGATTAATTCACACACCAGGGATTTAATTTAAAGATATTTAAATGTGAAAAATTAAAAATTAAGATGACAGAACTTAGACCAAGACCCAAACTAATTTGAGAAATCAGATGATTCACATAAACGTAAGCATTGTTTTATAACAATTTAAATAATTTTTAAAAATATTCTCAAAAATATTATGAGAAATATAACATTGAAGGTAATGATAATTTTATCAATTGCACTTAATAAAAAATATATAGTAGAATATTTACATAGCAGTTTCCAATCTTCCTCATTTTAAAAATATTATTTAAATTATAAACAAAATAATAAATTTTTCAACCTGGGGAATATTTCTTCAATAATATTTTTAAAAAATATTTTTATAAAAATGTCTATTAAATAATTAAACAGCTTTCATATTTGTCTAGAATTTGGAGTATTTAAGGATTTAAATTTATGTTAAAATTAAATCAAAATTTCATTAAATCCCTCAAGTTCGCTAAAATTTCCTGAAAATCCTTAAATTAAAAAACATGTTTGCCCTAAAAGCATTAATCCCCTTAATGTTGTTTGTCATAATAAAATCACAAAAAGCACCCGTACCAAATAAAAAATGTTTAGATTGTATCTGCTTTGTTGAGTCCCAATGCAAGCCTCTTCAATGTAAATGGGATGATGATGCTAATAGTTGTGGGTACTTACAGGTTTGGATATATTCCTGTTTATTTACACCTTATCCTAACTGTTTTTTAATAAAATCCTCAAAAAGCTGAGATTTCAATCTAAAGCATTCAATGACAAAAATAATAATATTATCATTAATTCAATTAGAGTCAAGAATAGTTTGTCAGAAATCTTATTCACTTCATTTTGGATAGTTTTCTTTCCATTTTAGCGCGAGGTACGAGTAAAATTTATAAAATTTCAGCGAAGAGTTATAGCTGAGAGTATTTTTTTAAATTTTTATTACCATTTTTATCCATTCTATTATCTCTAAAGAATGGCCGTCATTCTATTTTTTAACTATCCTCCTGGAGCATTCTATTATGTTGAGAGGACCATTCAAATAGAGAGGACCATTCTAAGAGATTTATTATCTCTATATACACATAATTTCACAATTAATATTAAAAAAACACACAGATTAAACTAAACTACTACAAGGATTGCGGTACTCCCGATCTTAAAAAGGGCGAAAAGGTTGAAGATGGATGGCAGCGTTGTGCACTCAACAAAGATTGTGCTTATAAATGCATGACAGTATAAAGTTTTGATTTAAGCAAAATCTCTAATTTTATCAAGAATTATATGAATCGCTACTACAGCCTTTGCAAAAGACCCAATGCAAGTGTTTGTGAAAAATGGTCTCGCATACATAATGGGGGACCTAATGGATGTTCTGCAGCAAGGACAGATATATATTGGGCAAAAATAAAAAAATGTGGGGCCAATTAATAATAGAAAGGAGAATGATTTGGAATTTTGCAATAATTAGTTTATAATTTAAAGTTGTTAAATTTAGATTTCAGTTTTATCTGATTTTGTTTCCATCCCCAAAATGTAATAAAATCACTAATGGTTTTTAAAATTTTGTGAATAAGAGCGTATATATCTATACTTCTAAGGAATTTAAAATTTTTATTGGATGGATAGATGATATTATTTAAAACAGAGAAATCTTTTAAATTTGAAAATTATTATTAAATAAAATTTAGATAATTTTTATTAATTATTTTTAAAATTATATTCGTAGATTAATTAAAATTAATATATAAAATTAAAACAATGCTTCGATAATTATCTTATTTTCATGAGCTTCATAATATAGGTATTTTTAATTATTAAAACAATATTTCGATAGAGTAAATTCTAAATGCATGTATTATATACATAAAGTACCCCCCCCCCCAATACAATATAAAATACAATACCCAATATACAGTGGCGGCAAATTAGTTAAGAAAATGGTTAACGTTTTGTAACTCCTTTTATCGTTATCCGATCTGGAAGATCTAAATTTTACAAAATAGCTTAATTTCTCTCTCAGTTGACATGTTTCGGCGTTTTTCGAAATTCTGATATTTTCGAAAACTTTTCGACTGGTCTAACAGGTACTACATTTTCGACTTTTCGGAGAAATTTTTTTGAAGTCTGTAAAAAATATATGTTATTCTCTTCTAGCTTCTGAATACAATGCAAAAAACCGCATCCAAATCGGTCGGGATTCTACCGAGTTATGAATTTTTGAAAATCGAAAAAACACTCATTTTTGCAAAAAAAATCGACAAAAAATGGCAAAAAAATGCGTTTTTTCGATTTTCAAAAATTCGTAACTCGGTAGGATCTCGACCGATTTGGATGCGGTTTTTTGCATTGTATTCAGAATCTAGAGAAGAATCTCATATAAAATTTACAGACTTCAAAAAAATTTCCCCGGAAAGTCGAAAAAGTAGTACCTTTTAGACTGCTCAAAAAGTTTTCGAAAATATCAGAATTTCGAAAAACGCCGAAACATGTCAACTGAGAGAGAAATTAAGCTATTTTTTAAAATTTAGATCTTCCAGATCGGATAACGATGAAGGGAGTTACAAAGCGTTAACCATTTTCTTAACTAATTTGCCGCCACTGTAAATGCATGGATACGAATAATATTCAGATACCCACGGATATATCGGATACGGTACATATGCTCAGAATGATATAAGTCCCTGAGTTTGTTACTTTTGCAATAATACTCATTTTTACACCACTTTTTAAATTTAAATTAAGTATTCCTCCAGTTAAAATTCAAATATTTTTAAAACCAAATTTAAGCTCGAATAAAAATGCCAATTTTTTAATTTAAAAGTTCTTTTCGAATTTGGGTCCGTGATTTGAAATAAATAAAATTTTAACTCATACTCCTTTATTATTCAATTTACCTAGACATACATATATAATTTTTCATAACGATTAATTAATTCTTGGTCTCGGTTTTGGTCTCTGTTTCTCTCGGTCTCCCTTTCATATATACTAGTAATGTTCGAGACTCTCGGTCTCGGTTCCCGAGTCGGGAAATTTCCAGGGTTTTTTGAAATCTCAGTCTCGGCGTTTTAGTATCGGAAAACGAACTAAACTTATACACCTAATGATGGAAAATTTTTGGGAACTTTTTCTCTACTTGAATTTCCAAAATACATTTCTCCAAAATATTTTTTTCAATTCTTTTTTCAATAGAAGTAATTTTACTCAGTTCTACCAGAATAGTTGTATGTTTAGTACCGAACCGAGTTAAACGAAACCTAACCGAAAAACCGAACCGAAAATTTCGGTTTTTCGGTTCGGTTTGGTTTGAAACCGACAACCCTAATCACCAGTGCTTCGAAGTAAAAGAATTACGAGCTCATACTTAGGCCTCTAACTCGTACTTTTCACTTTTTTGGCCTCGTACTTGTACTTCGTACCTGCCCCATTTTTTTGCTCGTACTCGTACTTCGTACCATGTACGAGTACGAGGTACGAGTACGAATTTTGGTACGAGCTTCAAATCACTGGTAATCACAATAGTGTACAAATTTGTACCTGTATTCAAAAAATCACTCTGTTAATTAAATAAATAATCTCCACGTTTTTTGTAATTGCCAAAGCAATTCGCGAATTATTTTTGAATTCAAATCGTTCACTTTCGTACATTTTTTAAAGAATTATTTTTAAAATAAAAATTTTTCTCATGATTTTATAAATTCAAAAATGTATGTTTACACAGACTTCATTTTTCATTAGAATTAGCTCGTTTAAATAAATTTAAAATAATTTTCTAAAAACGTTTAACAATAAATTATTAGCTTAATAATGCAACGCCGCTCTGATGGATAATAAGCCAGTATTCCAAATTTAAGCGCCACAGGCAAAAATTTTAGGAAATTTGGAAGGCTTAGAAGCCAGATTTCTTTATTCTTCAGCGTTGCAAGAAAAATTTAGAGAAATAATCTTCTTAATTTTATTACTTCTTTTCTTCTCCCGCTTACCATCTTAAACTCACATAAAATGTATAAAAATTTCACTTTTCGCCCAAAAAGCGAAATGTGAAAATGCTACAAGCATAAGTGAACTCCATAATGTATTTATGTAGATGGTAGGGGGCATTGGCAACTCGAGAGCAATTCTGACAATACAAAAATTTATATAAGTGTCTTAAAATGTCTCAAAATTGAAAAGCGATTGACTTTTATAATTCAAAATTTTAATTTCATAAAAAACGAATTTAGCCTTTCTTTTTTATTTTTAATATTTATTTTAGGAATTTACATGATATTTTTTAAATAATTGCTTTTGCATAACTCTAATTTATTATAGAAAATTTATATTTTACTAGAATTTATATAAATTTAAATTTAAATTATGTATCTTCCACTAAATAATTTAATTAATGGAAAAACTATTACAAATGGACGAACAAACAATAATAATTCAACAAAATACTTTTTATGTTTAATTTCTTTAACATTTATTTTTTGTTTTTATTTTTTGTTACAAATGTGGCCAAATAACAGTTATGATAATTACAAAATTCTTAATAAAAAATTAATTAATTCAAATTTACTTTTTGGAAGTAAAGGATTAGAAGAATGTATTGAAAATGATAAGAATAGGTTGGTTTTAATTAGTGACCGGTGAGGGAGGGATAGGATCTCGCGCGGGATTTTGCGAGATTCCGCGTCCGCAATCCCTTACTTTTTTTGGTCTTGGGGATTTTGCAGGACACGGGATTTATATGCAAAATTGTACAAATTTGTATACTACCGTATATGCAAATTATATACCCTAGGTAATTATTTTTTCAACCTCTGTCTGGTGGAGGTAATTTGTAGGCCAGGGTAATTATTTATGAGTTAATAGGTATTGTTACTATTAATAGGTTTCCATATGTGTCAGGGCGACCAACTTACGCCAGACCATTTGAATCTGCGGATTTTAAAATTAAAATAGGCGACTGGGGAAGATTTTTTCACTACGGCTAGCTTATTGGAAAGTAGAGGTCGGCAAAATCGCACTTCCGGGATCCCGAGTCGGGATTTTTTTCTTAACAGAGGCCGGGACGGGATCCCGAGGGATAAATCCCGAAAAAATCCCGGATCCCGAATGATCCCGAAAATCAAAAAAATCCGGGATTTCGGGATCGGGATCTCGGAAAATCCCGTCGGGATCCCGTCCCGCGCTGACCTCTATTGGAAAGGCGTCGATTAGTTTTTGATTAATTATTTTAGAAACGATACAAAATGGCCTTCGAAATGTTGTGGGGAGGAAATGGCATATTCATTTATTTTTCAAACAAACGACAAATTAACTAAGAATATGGTTAGCGGTAAAAGATTTGACTGTAAACATCTACAATTAATTGATAAATATAAACTTACTGACAAATACAAAATTGAACAAAAAATACCTGTAAGTTTAAATTTAAATTAGTTATCTAAAAATGAATGTTTACTATTAGAATAAATGTATAGAATACTATACTGTATAGAATAAATGATGTAGTGATCGATGAAGATCTAGAGTCTAAATTAAAAGGGGATGTCGTTTAGTATTACTTCGTCCTCAACAGTGCTGGTTATGGCTCCTGGAGCTAGCTAGGTTTGAAATGCCTGGCCGGTTGCCGTAACCAGGTTTTTCAATTACGCACTGCTTCGGCTTAAAATCCCCGGAGCAGGAGCCAAGGATTTGAAAACCTCGGAGTCAGAGTCAAGGTTTTAAAATGCGGGGAGCCGGTGTTAAGGATTCGAAAACCCCGAAGCCGGAGTTGGAGCCAAGGTTTGTAAAAGGTCGGAGCCTGAGCCAACAAGTGCCAAATACCCAGCACTGGTCCTCAATTAAAGTCTACTTTAACATAAATATTAATAATTTTTAAAAGATGAAAAGGCCAGGAAGTAAAGGTTTCACATTTGTTACTGCTTCGAGTATCCCTTACTATAATACAATGAAAAAACTTTTATTTGATCTGAAAAAACAATTTGGTTGTTCTCAAAATATTATTGGTTATGATCTTGGGGGTGTTAGTGAGGATAAAAGCAAGGTGATTTTGAGTTTATAACGTAAGAATTAAATTTCCTTTCTAATAATTTTAAATAAAAAAGATGGAAGAATTAAATGCCGTTTGTGGACTAGAATGGCGAAAATTTAATTGGAGCATTATTTCTGCGGATCTCCGTTTACCCCTTGTTTATGCATGGAAAATATACATTTTAGCAGTTTTTACATAATTTATATAATTAATTAATTAATTA